TCCTTGGTGACCGGGTGCCCAAACCAGATTTCGCGGAGTTGGATTAACGTATCGGCAGCTAGGTTCCAGTATGCGCTGAGCAAGCGGTGAAGCCCACCCTAGCTGATAGTTCCGACAGGCTGAATGCGCCGGTTCTCGTCCGACGTGCTTGGAAAACACAGACATAGTGAGGCACTCACAAAACCACAAACGAAAGCGGTTTAGCAACTGAAGCTTAAGGAACCATCCTGTTCATATTTATAAAATTAGGGGTCACAGGTGTCAGCTTGGTTGCTTTGTCAGCTTTGGGCACATACCTATTGATTAGCGGAGTTTAGCCGATTTCAGAAGCATACGCATTTATGATGGCAATAGTTTGCCAATAGGCCATACAGATTTCTGTGGCACATACCCGTTTGCTCGGCTAACAAGTGTTGCCTATATATTTAGTAGACCAGGGCTAAGTAGTGAAGTTCACCTAATGTGTGCAGCGCATCACCATTTTTGATACTTTAAAATGTTACCACGAATCCTGAACAGAAAAGGCTCAACCAGGAAGTGCTTCATTGTTTAAAGGGCCACTCACTAGGTCCCATACCAAATTTTAGTTAGACCGTGGAAGTTGGTGGGTGTCCGATGAGGAACATTTCGCCGCAAAGATTTTTTGACCCAGTGCATTACGAGCTGGAAAAACTCCCTTTCTTTTTTTTGATGTAGCGGAAAACGAGGATGACAGGAGGCAAGCTGGAAACCCTTGCCGCTTTTCCGCGTAGCCTTCGCAAGCCATATCTTTTCCCTACCCTCTCCGGCACCCGTCCAAGAGGTCAGGTGCGCATGACGTGCACAAACAAGCCCAACTCCGCGCGCGAGAGTGGCGTTTTTTTCTTTTCTGTTTTTGACCAGCGTTGTTTTGAGGTCTACTACCTGTTTCTGAGGGATGGTTTGGAAACGTTCCCTTAGACGAAGTAAAAAAAATAAGCACAATAAGTGTGCCAAGGCATAGGAGCGTTCCACGGTTTTAGTCTGCTCGATGCAGTGACCACGGGAACACGAACGCATGAGAAACGCCAGCACAATAGCCCCGCATCTCGTTGCGATTCACGGGGAAAAATTGAAGAAAAAGAAAGGACGCCCAAATTTTCTTATTGCATCTCCTCATTTATTTAAATATTTATTATTCTCATCAAGCAACAAATATATAAACTACGCCTGTCATGTTAAATAATTTTCGCCATGTCACGTGCCACTGTTGGCAACGTCAGACCGCTCTTTTTGAAGAGAAATTCATTTTTACAAGGTTTTCTTCAATATGTCTATAGATGCACGTTACTTTTTTTGCCTGTAGGATAGTCTTGTGAATTATATTATGTGTCGATAATTTTTGTAGGAAGGATGCTCATGTACAATAAATTATGTGTACATTTCATTTTCCTGTTCTTCTTTTTCTTTTTTTTCGTTCGTTACCACTTTTAGCTGTAGCACGTGTAGGGTGGCCCCAACACCCTCAATCTGGTTGTGTCAGCTTTTTCCCTAACATCGTGCTGTAAATAAATAAATAAATAAATAAATAAATACCAACTGAGCAATTTGGGCGAGATAGCGCCCTTCATTGCAGCTCATTGGGCAGAGCATTCCTGATGATCAAAAAAGCGTCGGGATGGTTGGTCGATATTCCAATTAACTTTATTATGATTGAGCCTACAAACACGGAGAAAATAAGAGTAAAGAAGATGAAACAGGTAGAGACAATTTCATCCCTTTTGTTTATGCTTCTTTAATGCAAAGCATTTCTTAGTGAACTTCGGCGACATTGAGCGTATCTATCTATCTGTCTATCTATCTATCTATATATCTAGCCGCTTACGCTTCGGTGCTCTCGTTATCACCCGCTTAACTCTGCGTGAACCAAAATTAGCGTGGGAGGGTAAGATGGTTTGAGGAATATGACGCGCTAGTATAGACATAAATAATGTCACAATCCCGTCGCGTACGTCGTCAAACACTTCCTGGCCGACAGAGGCATATACCCACGGGCGGGTATGGGCTGCTGGTATGCGTGTATGTGCCACAGGTAATTGACCCTTAGTGTCTACCCAGGAACGGCGAGAACACACATGGGCAATTTTAACGCGTGATTGTTTAGAAATGCCTTACATTGGAAGCGTCCACCTGACGAATGCAAATAATAAATGTCAGGGTTCCTGCTGGAATCGAACCCAAGCATTCTTCGTGGCAATGAAGCATTCTACCGCAGAGGTACGCCAGGTCTTGGAACTACTTTTGAAATATACGCTAATCTCACGTCAATAGTGCTTGCAGTGCTGCCTACCCAATTTTATAAACATTACATATGTACTCCTAGGATAGAGCCGTCATGTCGGGCTAACGTAAATTAAGGTTAGTTGCTATGCGCTGAAGTTGATTTATGTAGCAGTGTCGAGGGCCAGCATCGTCGCGAGTATCAGCGCTTCATATATCAGTTTCTGGTGGGGCTAATACGCATGTACCAGTTGGCATCGTTGCGCAAGTGTAAACAACTTGTTATATAAACATCTACATATCTTTAACATATGTCTGTGGATGCAACATTTGTAAATATATTTAAAGTCATTTAATGAAGTATCGCTCAACAAAATTATGCAACATGGTCACTTTTTCTCCGCATGCTTCGCATAATGTTGATTACAAGGTATGTGTGGTCTGCCGGAATTTTTTTATTAGCCTTCTTAAAAAAAGATTATAGCTGCGGTAAGCCGCACCATTCTTGAAGTAGTGAATCTGGGAGATTTCGTAGACTACTATGGTTTGTTTCTAACTTCATTTTAACCTTTGCTAAGTGTTGCAGTTTATTTTGATAGTTTGCTTCACACTGTTGCAAGGCTTTGTCTAGGCGATGCTTGGTTGTTTCTGCGGGGATCCTCAGTGCAATGAGGTTGAAGTTAAACTACAACAGCCAAATACACGACATAGATGTCCAAGCTCCAGAGACAAAAACTCACCCTGAAAGCAAGCATTCACGCTAATCATTGATATTAGACGCGTGAATGCTTACTCTGTGCATGGCACTACAATATAAATTAAGAAAATAGCCTATTCAACTAAATACCCTGTTTGCATAAAAAACACAGCTATACCACTCATCACAGTGAAGTATAGTTCATACCCCAATCGCGGGCAAATATTCCCGTACAAATTTGAAAAAACAAATTACCCAGATTACTTAATTCACTTGAAAATGTTGTTTCTAATACATCAAACACAACGCAGGGTCAACAAGCCTGACATGTTCAGTGACTCTGTTTTTGCATTTTTTTCTTTGTTTTGCTAGAATTCACCACTGCCTTTGCGCTTGAGCATCTACTCCGCTTTGTTTGAAAGAGATGGTTTCCTCACGCGTACCTATATATGCACTGTACAATATATTGTAATTTTTACTTTTTCTGATTTCGCATTGTGTCATCGTTACTCAATGTTGACGTAACCATGAATATAAATAAGCATGAATAACCCAAGCGCGTTAGCTTTGACACCTCTGCCACTTGCTTGCACCATACATAACGGGGGTGAAAACGGTTCGAAGCTGCCTAGAGCAACGTTTTTCTTGGGCCCTATCATTGTAGAACAATGTTTACAATGAAAATAAGTAAACGAAAAATTAACAGCATATCCACAGAGTGAGTGATCATAAGAGGGGCGGAGCTTCAAAAGAGTTTATCAAAAAATGTCAATCATTCGCTGGCCGCGTCTGTCCATCTGTCTGTCTAGCCTGTCTTTGTCTGTGCATCCATCCGCCCATCTGTCTGCATGTCCGTCTGTCTGTATGTCTGTTTGTCCGTCCGTTCATTTAGTAGGCACTTTATGTACCGCCATCTCGCATCTTTTGATCATATGTTCATCATATACAAGTACCACCTACCAATGGAAATTTCAAGGAATATAACGAGAGGTGTCTACTGCATACAGGAGGCACGCGACCCACCCCTCAAGGAGCTTCGCCCCTAAATTAAAAGTATGGCGTAGGCCTTTCACCGCATCAGGCCATATGCGTGCGTGGAGGTCCCCTCCAGGAGGCAAATGTTTATCGAAGCCGTCCACCTGTTAAGTCAAAGCGTGGGCCCCGTCTGTCGGGTGTCCAGGAAGTGGGGTCGGCTGTCCTCTCTGCTCGTGCGTGCGCACACTTATGCTACGCAGTTCTATCAGATACGCTGTAGCCTTTACCATTGCGTGTACCATTCCCTCGATGTGCCTGCTCGTGCTCTTCATTTCGCCGCCATCGCATCGCAACCATTTGTTGAGCTAACTGCTGCCTTGTTCATTTTCTTGCGGGTCAGCTGTGAGTAGTGGGACTTACCTTACTTCTGCTGCGCATACCCGTTCATGATGACGCCAGCTTTTTCATAAGGCACACGCACATTCTACAGTGGGGTCGCAGAGCATCGAAGAAATAATTCTGAGGTTGTGGTCCTGATACCACCGACAGAAAGAGTGCCTTTTTGTCCCCTTTGGTCTGTTTCACTTAAATTCACAATCATTGTACATTGTTGCACTTTGATTCCTATGTATGAAATATGTATTGCTCGCATGGGTTCTTTCTAACAAAGTAACAACTCCACCAAACTATTGCCCTTGTTTCACACACTTTCTATTGTACCACTGCTCTCTGCAATGCCATTGGGTCTGGGGGCAAGTTATATGAAATCGAGGGTTGTAAAATTTAACCTATGAATACTTGGGACAAGGGATCACGAGCAAGATGGGTGGGGCTCTAGCTGAAGGCTTCATTGGCTACTTCCACCTGCCTGACGTGACCCAGCAGCGCAAGCTCTACCCGTGATCCAGAGCTGGCTGGCTAGTTGTCCCTCCCATTGTTAGAAAGTATTGAAGATTGTATTGATATACGAATGAAATGAGGCATTACCTCAATTTTTCGGCACATCTTTATTTTTCTACATGGAAGATTGTTTAGATCGGTGTTGGATAATTGATTTTTCAAATTATAGTTGTTCATGCATTGCGCATCTTGGTGCATTAAAACAATTTATAAAACTGCACCATTAGGTATTCAGTGGGGTTGTGGAATGACGTCTTCCACAGGTGCGGCAATCTCTGAGCCAACATCCGGGCTTTTCGCTGCAGCAAGTGTTTTCTTGCATAATTCTTGCGTCCCGCTTGCGACGACAACGTCACCGATAACGTTCAAAGCAGTGGATATTCGGCTCCTGGAATAGCAAATATTAGTGGCACTTTAATGGAAAGTGTTTGTTAATGTAGTGATGAACTACACAATATACAGAAATTGTGTTAGGCACAAAATACTACGTTTAAAACTTTAGAAGAGCAGTTACACAGCTCCCCAACCTTGGCGCTGGACTACCGACTATTGGGTTTTTAGGCAAAAAGTCCTCCCCCAAAATATTCCTTGCGAAAAAAAAAAACATTCACGCACGCAAGTCGCACGTATTTTTTTTTTTGGAAACTACGAAACCCTGGGTAATAACACATCCTGCCGCAATATTTATTTTTTCTAACGTGGTTTAGAAGATGTGTTTTTTTTAAACAATAACAGGATTTTTATTCAAAAGAAGATTTACGACGTTTCACGTTTTCGTCGTTTTGTATGTAGCCCTAAATACAGACAATATGGTAAATATTGGGGGCTTGACAAATGATAAATGACATTGACATGTGATCGCTTGTGTTAGCGTACTTGCAGAACACTTTACTGTGTTCTAAAATATGTCGAAACGTATAAAGGCAAACGAAGGCCGCGACACACTGGAAAATATGTTCGTTTTAGAAAGTTTTCATTTGTAAATGCAACATAAAGGTTACCTTAGCAAGATATGGTTAATATCACATTCACTAACAACTTTCATTGTCTACTTTAAAAATTAGGTATCAAATTACTGTGTTTTTGTCACCAACCCCTCTATAAAATTAGCGGCCGGCCCGAATCTTTCGTTCTTGGTTTGTTTTTGCTGATTCAATAGTTTTAGTTCTCTCAGCCACCCTCGCAAGGCGTGGCGCTGCAACTTACCACCATCGCGTGAGCATCACACATGTATATATGCCGTTGCTGTGTGCCTTGTCATCTGCTCCCTCTTTTAGTTTTTATTTTTGTTGATCTGAAGTGTCATAGCACTGGTCGCAACAGTAAACAACTTCGCTATGGTTTACTATAGCTTTTCGTCCACCTTTGTGAAACAGTGGCTAGGGTACTCGGCTGCTGGTCGCGGACTCGATCCCGGACCTGGTGGTTACATTTTGATAGAAGCGATGTGGTAGAAGTCTGTGTATTGTTTGAATTCAGTGCACGCTAAGGAACGCCAGAAAAAATTCCTGTAGTCCTCACTAAGGCCTCTCTCATAACCATATGGTTTTGGGACGTAAAACGTCAGATTTTACTGTATAACTTCGTTCTTTAAGTCAAACGGACGGACCTCACGCTTACTCTGAATGCTGGTTTTCTCGTGCGAGCGGCTTACTATATCATCAGGTGTGAAATGTGCGCTGTGAAACTTTAATCGCCCATGTCATACGGGAATCACTTTCTTCAAGCATTGATAGAGATGGACTGTCATCGGTTTCTTGTCTTCTTGAATTTGCTGCCCCACGAGTAGCAGTTTTACTGAGTGGATAGCCACTTCATAAGATCTCGTGTGTCGTTGTTGCATCTATTGCCAAAAATTATTTATTCACGTGTGAAAGCCGCATCAGTGTAGTACATACTACTGTTCTTGCACTCTCTTGAAGTTACTATGACCTATCCTGTCAAAATTTTATAATAACATGACTGGAAAACATGTCAGAAAATTGTTTCTGCACACCACGGCACAATTGCGAAAATTAAAGAAGGTTCAACCCGCCAAACAAGTAAAAATATGTTCTGGCATTTCACAATGAATACGTGTGCTACTTATGCATAAACATTTTTCTTATAGTAACCTAAATGCGTTTCCTAAATAAGTTGTTTCAACGAACGTTTAATAGTGGGTTATTACGGACACAGCAGCTGAAGAGAAGTGCAGCAAAGTATTTCTGCAAGACGAGCCCAGGCTGATTTCATTGATTTATATGTGGGGTTTAACGTCCCGAAACGACAATATGATTATGAAAGGTGCCATTGTGAAAGGCTCCAGAAACTTCGACTTTCTAGGGTCCTTTACCTTGCACCCAAATGGGAGCATACGGGCCCACATCATTTCCGCAGCCATGGAAAATGCAACCGCCGCCGCGGGGATTTGATCCCGTGATCTGCGGGTCAGCAGCCGAGTAAATTCGCCACTAGACTGTCGCGGTGAGGCCAAGCTAATTTTATGTCACGTAATATGCTTTTAAATTTGCCCTTTTAGGTAACATAGGAGCTTTTTTACAGGGAAAATTATTAAGCGAGAGTGCTCGCAACAAGCTAAATGCATTGCAATTGATTCATCTTGGTCCACGTAACCGTTAAAAGGGTCAATTATGGCTATATAAATAAACGTACCTTACATTATTTAAAAGTATGCCTGAACCAATTATACCCCATGTGATTTGTGATACCACCACTTGTAATTATACGTCCAATAACAAGCTTTAACTCTGAATCCGGTACTCAGATGATAGTTCAGTGAGAAACTCGAGACGTAAATGTGAATACTGCAGTCTCTACACCTATTTTCATGCAAATGGGCGGAGTAAATCGCACATCTGAAATAGCCGTTCAATGCTTCTACTTCTGGGATGGCGCATAAAATACGTCTGGCTAGGGAGGCATTGAAATGTCATGTAGCAAGTACGTAGTGCCATCACTATTTCAGCTTGTAAGGATGATTTCCCGGCTTTAATATTAAAGGTGTCGTGATAAAAGATGGGTGAATGTGCAACAGAGAGCGGCAAGACACAATGTTTCTTTACAGCGCGCACACAAAACCACTGTGTTGGGAATCTGTTGGGACCAATGCACTGAGATGAGGTAATTGCGTGCCGTTATTGCTATTAACTGATAATCTCAGTTAATAGCCATTTTCGCCGACACTACACGTAACAGACGTAGCGCACGCTTTGTTTTCTATGCTCTGTGCGAGTGCTATGAAACGAAAAAGTTAGGGTGAAGAGAACGGCAGGGTGGTTAACCAGTTTATAAGCAGCTGGTTTGCTACCCTGCGCACGAGAATGGGATTGCGGAGATGAAAAATGAAGAGGAGAGAGGGAAGATAGATAAACACAGCACATTAAAGGGCCACTCACCAGGTTTGACAATTTTGAGCTTACAAGCGCAATGCGTAGACGAGGTGTTCATGATCACGTCTGCCAAAATTTGCAGCGCTACGCGCCGCTGAAAAGGGTCAAATTTGAAAATAAAAGCTGCTCCGCCTCCCGTCTGCCGGCGCACGCGCAGAGAATGAGAGCATGACGTGGGCGTATGAATGGCCCTACATACACGGCAATGTGGTGACTTTGGTTCTCTACGTAGACGACTCTGCTCTGACGTTGTCAACAGTATACCACGTGACATGGCAAAAATGAATTAACACAACATGCGTAGTTTATGTATTTGTTGCTTTAAGAGATGAATAAAACTTGAAATAAATAATGAGACGCAATAAAAAGTTGTGTGCGTTTTTCTTACATTTTTTCCCATGAAATGCTACGAGATTCGGGGCTAATGTGCCAGCGTTTCCCATGCGTTCGGGTCCCCGCGGTCAGCGCATTGAGCAGACGACCGCTGTGGAACGCTCCTACGCATTCGTGCACTTAAGCCTAGTTCACACTGAAACATCCACTTTCTACAGCGACCGAAATTTCCCTGCCGCCGAAACGCAGCGTCGTTCGCACTGGACGCGCCCTGCGCCGCCGAATATGCCATCTACTACGGGGCGAACGCGGGATGGATGCGCTGTCACCCGGTTGTTGTCGCGGCTCGCAAACGCTACTACGTTATCCGGTGGTGTATACTTCGACGATTCTCGCACGCAAGAAGCAAAAAAAGACAGTACTGCTTACTTTGCTGGCAAGTGGCTGTCTTGTAATGCACGAAGAGCAGAAAAACCACCGACGCCAGCGGCGCTGGTGGGTTCGTTTTGTTCTGCAAGACCGCAACAAGCTCGGTCACGCCAACAGCAAGCTCGGTCACCTCTTTCACGAAATACGGAGGCGAAGTAGGCACAGAGTAGGTTAAACTCCCGTTTGTTTCAACATTCAGTTACGTGCACTGCCGCATAACAAGTCAGTAGGGCTTGGCCGCCATTTTTCGAAATTCCTTGACTAGCGCTCCTATTGGTCCGCGGTTACCGATTCGGCGGCAGAAGCCGCAAAAATCGGTCCAAGAGCGATCGGCGCGGAGAGGGCCCTTTCGGCGGATCTCGCCGCCGCCGAACCAGATTCGGAGCACTTTCGGCGGCCGGAATGCTCAGTGTGAACGCGGCCTTATTGTGCTTATCTACTCTACCGCGTCTAAGCCAGCGTTTCCAAACAATTCCGCAGAAACAGGCAGAAAAGCACAAAAATTCCCAAGCATTTTCCCGAGGGTGAACATGGTTAAGTGCGAATGCACGGGGTGATGCTATGAGGGCTATTTATTAATTCGCACTATTATATTTATTAATCACACTATGGTGCCTTTATGGTGTAATGGTTCCTGGGAATCGCAATTTGCTCAAGCGGGGGAGTTTACGTTTACTCACTGGCGAATGCCAACGGATTTTAACTTTACTCCCCCTCATAGCATCACCCGTGCATTCGCACTTGACCATGTTCACTCCTTTTCACTGCCTCATAAAATTTATCCATGTTCAATCCAATTCACTGCCTCATAAAATTTTTTCGGCTGACATTTTCTTTATATCACTTGAACATTATCGACTTGGTGATAAGAAATGTTCAATATGTTATAAATTTTTGTTGCTGTTTCACAGACATGTGACTTCTGTTAGCCTGTGGACACATGTTTTTTTCTATGAATCACCTGGTGTTTTTAGGCTCCTCCCGCCTGGACCAAAATGATGGTCTGCAGTATGTCCAAATAAATAAATAAAATAAATAAAATATTCAGCCTATAATTCATCACCTCTCATGGACCTCGGTGATCGTCAAGTGTAGAGTAGGTATATATATAAAAACTGCTTTTGATGCGATCAATTACGTCGGATGACACAGCTTCTCGATCGCGCTTTTTTTTGCTGTTAGGATTCGTTTATGTGAAAGTTTCTTGGAGAAAACAAATGAATGGATGAACAGA